TCATAGTGGGATTCGAAATAAACAAGCACAAAATTCGTTCTTTACAACCCAATAACAAAATATGAAAGCAAAGAACTAATTGGAGAAGAGAAAGCCTTTGACGTGCACTGTTCAGTGCTTCCCTCGGCCACCAAGAGCTACTCTCAGCGACTGGCTCCTCTCGGACGCTCAGACCGGCACTCCCTCAGACTTGTCAAGGAGAAATTCCATGGCAAGTGAGATTGACGGAGAAAGATGAGACCTTCTCTCTTTAACTTTTTAAGCTCAAATATATGTGGAACTAAAGTCTCTAACATTATTGCTTCATCCTCTATTTATAGGGGAAAATTAGCCCTTGAACTAAGAGTTGACTTTCCCAAACCATGGTTAACTCGCTTGGGAGTCAGGCAAGACAGGTGATGATACAGCCTGAGTAGCTGGCATGAGTGACCGACATAATCTCGTTGCAGGCGCCCAAGGACAGACAGGATCTGCAGGGTCAGGCGGCGTCATCAGTAGCACCGACGGTTGTAGTGCCGGTTCCTCCATGCGAATCTTTGAGGTGGATTTCTCGGGCAGAGCTCTCGGACAGTTGGATACATCTGGCTTCAAAAATATCTTCTCGCACTTTAAGCACTTTCGAAATGCCAGTCGAACTTGGCATTTATATTTAGCTCAGTAATATCCTTATTTCACGGCATTTTCTTTCCTCTTTTCCTTGCTTTCAAAACCTGCACATCATCAGACAAGTACATTTCCCATAAAGCAGCACCGCTGTAAAAATAAAATGCCACGGAAAACCGAAATTCACCACATGCAACTAAATGCTTCTAAATACATCTATATGTTTCTAAATGAGAACTTAAGTTAAAAGGTCCCAAAATGTGACCTTTCAAGGAGTAATCACTCGTTTCGGCTCGTTAAGAAATCTAGTCGAGCTCGAGCTCGAGTCAAGTCCATTCGATCCGAGTATTTATCAAGCCTTGATCGAGCCCATCTTGAGTAGCTCGCAATATGTCTCGTCTCATTTACAGCCCTACAGTTGTTTGCCTCACCCCAAGTTCATGTTGCTTATGTTAACACTTATGGTCAATTGGTGGTTGACTTGGGTGCTATACATCATGTAACTCCAGACGCTGGGAGGATTGACTGTCAGTCTAGTCACAATGGACCAGGTAAGCTTACAGTAGGAGATGATAAATCTTTACTATGGTTGGTAGTTAAACTTTATCTGCACCTTCACGAACACTTTTTTTAATGATATGTCATTATGAGAATAACAAAGAATTTGCTCTTCGTTCCAAAATTTACTAGGGATAACGAAGTTTACTTTGAGTTTCAGGCTCGTGATTGTTGTGTTCATGATGAATCCATTGGAGAAGTGTTGTTGTGAGGACAAGTTAAAGATGTTATTTAAGTGTTTTTCGGGTGCTCAGTCACCAAGTGTTTGTAATAATGTTCAAGTGAATGTGGCTAATACTTCTAGTTTGCTTAAGTGTGGCATCAAAGATTAGCAAATACATCTTATGATACTGTAATTGAAACTTGTAAATCAATTGGTGTAAAACTTTCAAGAGATGTGAATGAAAAATGTCAGGCGCGTTGTATTGGCAAATGCCACAAGCTTCCATTTCCTCGATCTACCATTGTTTATCAGGATCCTTTTCAACTTGTGTATACAGACTTATGGGGTTCTGTATATGTTACTTTAGGGTTCTACACATATTGCTTCCAATAGTTTTAAGTATTATTTAACGTGTGTTGATGTTTACTGGAGATAGACGTGGATATATTTCTTGAAGTGCAAGTCACATGCGGTCTCTGTCTTTAAGTTGTTTCAGCAGTTGGTGTTGACTCGATTTGGGGTGGTTATCAAGGTAGTGCAGAGTGCCTGGGGGTGAGTATCGTAGTCTGGCACCTGTGTTACTTAAGACTGGGATTGACCATCGTCTCACTTTCCCCCATACTTTCGAACAAAATAGGGTGATCGAAAGGAAGCATTTACATGTGATTAAACTTGCCTTGGTAATGTTGTCCCAAGTGTCTATGCCCTTGAGGTTCTGGTCTTATGTTGCTGCCACAACAGTGATTGTAATAAACCGCCTGCCAAAGAAGGTACTGAGTGGCCTTTACCCATTTGAGAAGCTTTTTGGAAAAAGCCTGACTATAGTATGCTACGTGTATTTGGCTGTAAATGTTATCCACACCTTCTACCGGTTCAAGCTCATAAACTTGAGTTTAGGTCTCAAGTGTGTACCTTCTTGGGTTATAGTGCACAACATAAGGGTTATCTATGCCTTTCTGTTGATGACATATGTGTCCAGACATGTGATGTTTGATGAGCTAGCTTTTCCTTTTGTAAGGGTTCATAATGGTCAGTCAACTTCTATTAGGTTTGATTGTACCATTCGATGTTTGTCTTCCATACCTGTTGTAGTTGATATTCGCAAGACATTTGACATGCGTGGCGGTCAGGTACTGGTTCCTACTCCAATAAGTAATGGTGACACGTTGGTTGGTATAAGAGTTCTCATGTTCTAGTTCATGATGATGATGATGCTCAAAGAGTGTCTAGCAATGCCACGTCCTCTCAAGAGTTACCTGTTGCAAGTGATTCAGCAGGGTTGTAGCCACAAGGGATTTATGTGGACGAGTCTGATCGTATGGAGACTCAGTCTGCTCCACTAATTGAGTGTGAGCCTTGTGTGATAGTGATACTAGCATGGTGACAAGTGGTGAGACTTCTACTCGTGGTGTTGTGGCTAATACTAACAGGCATTCGATGATTACCAGGAGTAAGTGTGGTGTTTTTAAGCCTAAATCTTACTTGGTGAATCAAGACAACATGAAACCGGTGAATGTTTACGAGGATCTTCGATCGTCGGAATAGAAGCATGTTGTTCATGATGAGTTTAATGCACTAATTCGAAATAGAACTTGGACGTTAGTTCACCGACCTGAAGATAGGTCACTGGTTGGTTGTAAATGGCTTTTCAAGCTAAAAACAAATGCAAATGGCTCAGTTTAGCGTTACAAAGCGTGTTTAGTGGCCAAAAGTTACTCGTGGGTGCCTGGACATGACTTTGTTGAAACATTTAGTCCAATGGTTTGATTTACTACGCTCAACACAGTGTTGTCTCTGGCTGTGATGAAAAACTGGCGGTTGATGTAGGTAGATATTAATAACGCGTTTGTAAATGGAGATCTTCTAGAGGAGATCTTCATGCAGCAACCTCCTGTTTTGAGCAGGGTTCTTCAGATGGCAGGTCACTGGTGTGTAAATTAAATAAAGCCTTGTATGGTTTACGTCAGACGCCACGTAATTGGCATATAAAGTTGAAGCAATGCTTTGCTCGGTTAGGGTTCAAGGAGTCTAGAGCAGACCCTTCCTTTTATGAAATGCAGTGGAGGAATCTACATTTATATGCTAGTGCAGTGGACGACATTGTGATAACGGGAGAGTCCGAGGTTGCAATGGAAGAAGTGGTTAGCCTGCTGAATGAAGAATTCTCCTTGATGGATCTCGGTGATTTACACTATTTTCTTGGGTTTGGAGTGTAGCGTTTGAATGGTGGCCTTCTACTTAACAAACATAAGTTTATTCTTGAACTACTCATGAAAACCAAGATGGATGGTGCTAGGCCTGCTGCTACACCTATGGTGTTGACCAAGCTTTCACAGGGTGATGGTGAGTCACTCTCTGATCCGAGTGAGTATAGAAGCATCGTTGGGGTGTTGCTGTATGCATGTCATATGCGTCCAGAAATCAGTTTCAGCATGAATCGTGTTGCAAAGTACATGCATGCTCCTCTCGAAGGACATTTGGTTGTTATTAAGAGGATTCTTCAATATTTAGTAGGCACGGTGAATCATGGCTTAGTCATGACTGCTGACACTGCAGCGTTTAAGCTTACTGCCTTTGCTGATGCAGATTGGGCAGCAAATTCGGATGATCGTCGGTCTGAAGAAGCTTACTATGTCTTCTTGGGTAATAATCTTGTGTCTTGAGCCTCGAAGAAGTAGAAGTCAATCTCCAGGTCCATGTTGGAGGCTGAATACAGAAGTGTTGCAGATGCAACCCCTGAACTTGTGTGGGTTCAGGCACTTCTTACAGATATGAGGGTGTTGCAGTAGGTGATCCTAGTGGTTTGGTATGATAACAATGGAGCAGTTTTTATGACATCCAACCCCATATTCCATGCAAAAGCAAAGCATGTGGAGTTGGATGTCCACTTTGTGTGTAAGAAGGTAGCAGCTAAACGGGTGCTTGTTAATTTTGTTCCAACTAGTCATCAAGTGGTTGATAGTTTTACCAAGCCCTTGGCAAGGGATATGTTTGAGCAGTTTTGTGCGAAGATCGGGGTTGACAGTCTTGTGAGGGAGGGAGGAAAAGAGTAGGGAGAATGTTGAATGAAGCAATGGAGTCTTACCGTTAAAGAATGGTAGGCTGTTAGAGTTGTTGAGAGTGGTTATTAGGGTTAGTTACTCTACTTATAAAACCCTATATAAGTCTCTAGGTTATTGTGTAAAGCAAGTAATCAAAATATGTTGTACTTTCTGTTATTCAACATACCTTATCAACTTAAAGTACAAAACTAGAACATAAGTGTTATAAGTGATCAATTCTATAATTTACCTATTTAGTATTTTATTGATGTAATAATGATGTCTTTCTATTATGAAATCTATCAATATTAATTTGGTATAATTAATAATGTTTTCTTTTTAAAACTTTATTTTAATGAGTCATTAATATTCTATCGACATTATTTTATAATCAGTTAAATATATTGGTATTTTTAAAATAATTCTGAGTATATATACATATATATTAATATGGGGGAGTGAAAGAGCCGAGGAGGGCAATAGTAATTAACAGGAGAATATACTCCAAAAATGAAACCAAAAGAGTTGAAAAGAGGACAGTAACTTCATTCATGCAAGGATACACAGAAATGTTGAAAGGGTCCTTATCCTATGGTACTGCAAAAACAAAACAAAAAAACCAACAAAAAAACCGTTGATGCAGAAAGCTCACAATGTGAAAACCCCTCTTTCTACAGGTCGAAACTAATCTTCTCAATTATGTTTGCTTGCCGTCGTCTCTGACTTCATCGCATTTTAGTGCTTTCAATTTTCTGTAACCCTTGTCGGTACCGTATATCCTGAGAGACGATACAAATGGGTCAGTATATCCAGGCTCAGCAACGATCGAATTCGAACTCATATATGATGGGCATGGTAGATAATGTCCGCCAGCCTTTATCATGAAAATCAAATTTGAATTCATATATAACAGAGATCGAAACGATAGCAAAGATTAGTTCATAAAGGGCTGATCAAAATTACGAGCAGCACCGTGTATCTAGAATTTTATGCAGGCAACCCACAAAATTTCTTGTCAAAATCGAGTAACTTAAGAGCAAATAATCGAAAGGGCACTAAGTATCTATAAAAACCAAACAATCTGAAACTACTCAACACGAACAAAAAAGGAACGAACACTTGAAATGACTTGAACAAGTAAACTAAATGACTTGAACCAGGAATGACCTAACCAAAAAACTGATACATAAACCATAATGGTACTTAAATTACTTAGATATAAATATATTTATATAAAGTATAAATCTTAAAATTACATACGTATAAACTAAACCTGTCAATTGAGCTAGTTGGGTTGGTTTTGGATCATGTGCAAAGTAGTTGATACTGAACCGATATGTACCAGTACTCGAGGAAAAACTGTACACCCACCATTATGATATTGACTACTTTGCACAATGCACAAGACCCAAAACCAACCCATCCGGCTCATTTGACATGTTGTAATCATAACACTCTTCTAAGTAATATTTCATACCAAATATGAACTTGGAATGATGCAATCGAATCCCAAAAGCAGATCTACTACTTAAGTAGGCCTCTCTAATATAAAATGGACAGAGTTTAATCCCCAGAAATGTCTTAAGAAAATCCATATAAATTCATCTACAACTAAAATGGTAGAAATTTAGTGGGAAATATAAATAACCTACAATCTAGCCACAGAAATATGTCAAAGATTTAAAAAAAATAAATGCCAAAACCACTCACCAGTCCATGTAAACAAATGTAGATGAGTAGTTTCCAGATTTTGTATAAAGCAGTCGGTGATGATAGTCATGAAAATCAGCACTGGAAACGTGAAAACATGAACAATTACTTGCAGCTAAAGGATAAAAGATAATCATAGAACCATATATAAACAAACGAAACATAGCAACAAATGAATAGGGAACTCACCCCCCATATATAGGTAGAAAGTTTGAGAGGCTCCATGGAAAATGGTAACCACAATGTGCCTCAACTGTCTCTAGGACTCGAAGAACCATCCACAACCAAAGAGTAATCAGATGTGGGCCAGTTATGGCGGGGCCAATTATTGTTGCAAAGCCGAGGAACAATATCTCAGCAGGGTGAGCATACTCAGATGTCAGTCCAAACGGTGTAGCATACCTGTTTGGGGTATGTAAACCAAATAACCAACAAGCACAAGCAAAAAAAAAAAAAAGAGAGATCGGTATTGTTCATAGTTTTAAATAGTACGAGCACCTAATATTGACACTTACTCGTGATGGACACTGTGCACATGCTTGTACAGCCATTTCGTATGTAAAATACGGTGTCCCCAGTAAAAAACAAAATCCTCCAGAATGAAGTAGAATATTATCTGTGATATAACCACTTTCCTGCCAACCAGATAAAGGGTCAAGCTAATTAGAGCTCCAAAAATAAGAATTTAACTGCATGCAGGAACATGATACATCTACGGAGGCTATATTTCAGGACAAGTAACTATGGATATTATTACTGAATATCGTAATAACATAGGGAAAAAGCTCTAGCATATAAAGAACCTGAGAATACCAGGATGGAAATGGTAGACTACTTCTCAAACCCATGAATCTGAAGAAAGGATAAGATGCAATCATAAGCGGTAGGTTGACACCAACATGATATAGAAGCAGGCGGGTGATACATTTTTCTTGGGCAGCAAGGCTGTTGTTTTTTGTCTACATTGAAACATAAATTACAAATGGAACATGTTTATTATGAATTTAGCTGGATAAAATACAAATAAAGCATACTTTTCATCATTAACACCACTCCCCCCTCAAATTTTATGTCAACAAAGTAAAATTCATTGACAACGGTACCAGCAAAGAAGATAGGAGTTAACCTGAATCTTGTATTTGCTTAGCAATCCAGCTCTTTCCAGGTATATAAATGGAAGTCCAGATAAGAAAAAAACACTTTCATGAAGAAAGAAACTTCCCAGACTCGCTAATTGGAAGTCGCTGAAATGTGTGATTAGATACTGCATGGCGAACAAAGAAAGATTTTCAGGAAGAATGTATTATATCTCATGACATATACTGCTATTATCGGCTTAAAAAGATAGATGGTATTAGTCAAACAAATTCACAAGGTCACTGAAACATGTGATCAGATACCGCTATATATATGATGTTAATCAAAGTAATTAATAAACAATGTATCCGGAAATGAAATCAATAAGCAAAATTAGACAGATTAACATTTCACTGTGGGAAAAAAAAGAGGGTCGAGAAAACGAATCAAGGCTTCCTTAGGCACTTTTGCTAGAGGTCTAATAAGATATAAGATCAAAGGAATCACTTACAAGAAACACATACTTAACATTAACAAACAAAGTGCTCTAATCTGGATTTAATTCCCAGGTACTTGTTATTGTACAGTAACGTCCTTGATGAACTAATTAATGAAGTATTCAATGTAGCACGAAATTAGTAAAACAATTACCTGAATTCAAAAGAATCAAAACCGTGGACAATCGCCATTCTGTAACTACATAATTATTTGCAAAGCTTAGAAAAAAGTAAAATTCTTCATACAATGTATGAAAATGCATCATTTCAAAATTTCAAATTCTAAGAGACGAGAAAACCAAAGAGCATTATTCAATCAAATCATGCTTAATAAAAATCGAACATCAACCATCCAAAATTACCTTAGCGTCACCATCCAAAACCAGATAAACAGAACAAAGACTTACAAATAAAATATCAATAATCCAAACGACCCAAAGTTCAGATTTAACGATCTTCTTATTATATCCCAAAACCACATAACCCAAAAACGACAGATCCATAACAAGCAATGGGAAGTTCATAAAGAACACAGAAAGCAACAAGAGAGGGGGAAAAGGAAGGAACTTTACCAGCCACCCAGATTCAATAATGCCAGCCATGAGAGCTTGGAAGTTGCGAGTGGAGAGAAGCTAGTGATCTCCACAGTGATGTTATTAACGATGATATAATAAAATCATTTGGGTAAAGAAAGAGGACAGAGTGAATACTGTGAGAATAAAAGACCAGGGGATGGGTACACTGTCAAAAGGAATCTGGGCTGTATTCATGGGCCCCAAGTTTTGTTTCCATATAAACTCATTGGTAAACTATACATTTAAACACGGCTTTTAATTTTGGTTTTCAGGGAAAAAGTACAACAGATAATGAAAAAAGGAAAACTCTTTTCAATTTCAAGAAGAAACTCTTAACGCTGCCATCTTTTTACCTTGTTATCGTCGCTTTCAGAGTTCTGTTACCATTATCGCTGATGTATTTTCTTCGGCTTTATCAGACCAAACATTCACTTGGGGCGACATCATTCAATTCTCCTTCATCGTCGATGGATAAGATTTATTTCTCAGTTTTTTTTTAACTTCTATTCAAGTTGCTATTTTTTTGAACCACTATTCAAATTATTAAATTAGGGAAAAGAAATAAATTTTTAGAAGAGGTTTTCATGCGTGGAGGTCGTTACTTGGTGGGCTCAGTGTCGTTGCCACTAATTTTCAAATCAATATGTCGTTCGTCGGAAATGATTGTGTTCGTTTGCCCCTATTTTAATTGAGGATGATGTCGGTCTGATTGAATTAGTGACGTTGGTGTTTGTTGTTGGTGAATCGACAGTGGCCGTTGTCTATCATTTGAAACCTTGAATTCTAGTACATGTTGCCATTCTCGGGTTCCCTAGAGCATTCGAATTGAAGAAAAAATATAAATAATAGATAGTAAAATAATAAGTAAATTATAAATTGCATCTATATGATACTGCATCAAACATATTAACATTCTACAGATAAAGGGTTAGTAGATTATGTTACTTAAAGATTTTTTGTTGTAATTGGTTACTATTGTTGCTGGTATGCATCATCGTTACCAGATTAAGAATTCAATCTAATTCTGAGCCACTAACTCGTGCTTTATTTTGTTGCAGGAAATATTTCAGATTTTAATAGTAATTTTTCAGCTCTCAATTCAATTGGATTAGACTCGATCTGGATTGTGTTGTACTCGGTTGTACTCGATCAAGGCGCAGTGGTGATATCATGGACGAGATTTAAATTCCCTTGTGAATTCGAATTCGATCTGATTTAGGGATTTGGAAGGATTATAGATAGTGTAAATATTGTATAAAAATGTTGATGGGAAACAAATTCAAACTTTTAACATGTCTGATCCTAGTATTAAATTATGGGTTAAAAAACTAACACAACGATGACAAACCAATTAGGCTTACTGGTCTGCTGTACATGTCTATATGATCTCTCTGCTGTTTTATGACATTTTCCATAACTTATAAGTAAAAGAGAAAGGGAAAGATATAACTACCAATAATCCCCACATGAGCAGACTCCATTACGGAAATGGTGAAAGCGATTCACATCACGAACCAGAATCTCTTTATTTGTAAACTTGGAAATCAACTTTGTGAACGAGTGGCAGTCTTCACATAGCCTCAAATTCTTTGTTATCCTTATGGTTTCCCCTTTATTTGTATTGATGAGTCCAAATGTAACTGCAAGTTTTTCACTGTGACCCAATAGAATGCGTTCCTTTTCGCCTTCATCAAGATCATACAGAACGACTTTGGTTTGTGGTTTATATCCCTTCTCCTTCATTTCTGCAGACAGTTTAATCAGCAAAGATTGGATCTGTTCGATATGAGGATTGAACTCATCGACAGAAACAAATGAATACATTTTCCTTTTCACTTCAATCCAACTTCTGCCTGCAACTTTTTGCAGTGAGCGAGTTTCGAGTAGCTTCCTCACTCGCTTTACGTCGTCCCACATCTCAGCTTCTGCATAAATATCAGCTAGAAGTACATAATTTCCAGCACTTAGGGGTTCAAGTTGAAATAGTCTATGGCTAGCTCTCTCTGCTAGTTCTACATTACAATGAATCCTACAAGAGCCAAGAAGTGAGCCCCATACCTTAGCTCCAGGTTCAATCCGCATTTCATTTATAACACTAGCTGCCTCTTCTAACCTATTAGCACGACCAAGAAGATCGACCATACAAGCATAGTGCTCAACACTAGGAATTATTCCGTGTACTTTACACATAGAATCGAACAACTTTTTTCCCTCTTCAACAAGACCTGCATGGCTGCATGCTCCTAACACACTGACAAAAGTTATAGGACTTGGGGAAACACCTTGATGAATCATCTCTTGAAATATTTGCATTGCTTTCTTCCCATATCCATGAATACCATAACTTGATATCAATGAATTCCATGACACAACATCCCTTTTCTCCATCCGGTCGAAAATCCATTGCCCCAATTCAAGCTCACCACATCGAGAATACATTGTAATAAGTGCACTTATAACTGGCAAAACTGAATCAAGCCCTCTCCTAAGGACATAAGCATGGATCAACTTTCCTTGCTCCAAAGCTGACAGTGCTGCACAAGCTTGAAGAACACTGACCATAGTAACTGAATTTGGAATGGCGTCAAGAATCTCGACCATCATTTCCCTAAAAAGCTCTAATGCTTCAAAAGACTTTTCATTTTTAGCATAACACGCAATCATTGCACTCCAAGAAACCACATTCCTAACATGCATCTTATCGAAAACAAAACTCGCATGTGCAACGCAACCAAACCTCGCATACATATCAACCAAAGTAGTCATGACATGAACATATCCTTCGAACCCATGTCTTAAAATATGAGCATGAATCTCCTTACCTTCTTTAAAGGGAAACCATACATTCAGAAGCGACACAAGCTTTAAGCACATAAGTATAAGTAAACCTATCCGATGGGAGTCCAATCCTATTCATTTTTCTATACAAACCCAAAACTTCTTCCCCAAAACCACCCAAAGTAAGCGCTCGAAAAAGCGCATTCCAAACGAAAATTGTTCTCTTACGCGTTTTATCGAACACCTTGCGAGCGTCATCGAGGGAATCCAAATTAGCATACATATTGATGAGTTTGGTAACCAAGAAAGGATCTTGGTCAAACCCATTCTCGAAAATATGGGAATGAAGGGATTGGGCAAGGGAAAGGGAATTTTGGTGGGCGCATGAGAGGATAAGGAGCTCGTAGGTTCTTTGAGAAGGGCTGGGCTCTTGGGAAAGGAGCTTGAGGGCATGTTTAAGGTTACCTTGTTTGCACAAGGATTGAATTAGTTGATTATTGTTAGGCGTTGAGGTGGAGATTGAGTAGTTTAAGGTAACAGATGAAGAATGGAGTTTTGAGGAGCACGAGGTGGACTGAACACTGACGGTGATTGCGTTGGCTGGGGAGTGTGAAACGCCCACATCAGTCGTGAACTAAAAAATCAGGGCCTTCTCTTTTGTTTGTCTGTTGAAGACCGATCTCACATTTTATTATCTTCGCATAACTTAGGGTTTGTACTTTTTTGCATCATACATCCTTAAACTATGATCTACTTTTTAAATTGGTCCTTAAACTTTTAAATATTTAAATTTCATCCATAAAATATGAATATCATTCTAAATTTGTCCTTAAAATTTTGGAACATTTTAGTTTCATCCCAAAACTATATCCTTCATTCTAAACTGGTCCCTATATGTTTTTAGCATTTTAATTTCATCCCAAATTTTATGTATATACTAATCACATTTCATGTTAATAAATCATTAGGCCAACCTATATTATAAAATTTAGGTTAAACTACGATTGAAACTAATTATATATTTAGATGAATTTGGAGACAAAATTGAAATATTTAAAAGTTTGGGGACCAATTTATAGTACATGTCATAGTTTAAGGATGAAATTGAAATAATCAAAAGTTTAAGGAATAATTTAGAATAAATATAATAGTTTAAGGATGAAATTAAAATATTCAAAAATTTAGAGACTAATATAGATGAGGGCCATAATTTAGGGATATATGATGCAATTAACTCTTTTTATTATGTTATATGGGTAAATTATTACTTTCGTTTAAGTTTTGTATACTTTTCTCATTGAATTCAAAAAAATATAATATTTGACCAATTTTTTATTTACTTAAGATACGATCACGGAGAATTAATAGTCATTAAACTTTTAACAAATTACTGACGTAACATAATAAATATATAAAATTTAAACGAGAAAACTACATAAATGATTACTAATATTTAAGTAAGTTTTTCTTTTTTCACTGAAATTTTAAAAATAACATATTTTATCGAGATCATTTTACAATATATGTTTGAAAATTATGTAAGATACAAACTCCAAATTAATATAATTCGACATGGTTTTCATAATCGGACCGGTCAGCGAATCGGTTAGACCGGTAGTAAGAATCGAACGACGTCATAATTATTTAAAAAATTAAATAAAAATACCAAAAATATTTAATAAAAAATCAAAAAAAAAATTAGGTTGAACCGGTTCACGTCCGGTTCGGTTCGAGCGGTTCAAAGCCGATTCGAACGGTTCCTTGAGGTTCACTAGAACCGGTTCAACCAGGATAGAATAGACCGAACCAGGCAACGATTCCCGATTGAACCTACAGGTCCAGTCCGATTTTCAAAACACTATAATTTGGTGCATATCCAACACCTCCTCAAAGTAGCGCAGGACGAATTTGATAGCTCTTGAAAGTTGGAGGATGAGCTTGCCGCCTGGTTTCCACCACCTGTACGCATGTAACTGGCGCAAAAGTAAGAAATAAGTATGGAAACTCAATTGGTGGACGGTACTGTGAAGTTCCTTTATCTATGATAATATTAAGGATCATTTTGTAATAACTGAAAGCTCACTGACTAAAAAGATACATTTTTGAAATTATTGACCTTCAGTTGTACTTTGCACTAATAAATTAATTAATTAACGGTCGGGCTTTTGATGGTCTATCAAGTAAGAATTAAGAAACTACAAAGGCCACCGGCCACCCAATTCAAAGAGAATAAACGTAAATAAAAGTAATTAAATATTATTTTTTAATTCAAAGAGAATAAGTGTAAATAACTTAAATAA